ATACAGGGGTGAACAGGTTTTATTAGCAGCATTATACAGTGAATGTAGCTCAGAATTAAGTAGATTGGCTCTTATAATTGAGAGAGCCTCAGATTCGGGAGTAAGGAATCTAAGGTGGTATCCAGAGATTTAATTTTGGATTCTATATAAGTAATCCAGCTAGAGTCATTAGATTCCAGTAGAAGCTGATAGGTGTAGCTAGAGGAGTCCGCATTGAAAAGAAGGCGAAGAGGAAAATGTCATTCTAGGCCTCAGATGTCGTCAATGGACATGGAGGCATGAGCAGATCCCGCCTGCCACGTACCTCTTCCTGGGGAAATCCTCTCTCGAGTGTGCCCATCACACAAACACCCTCTGTTCTGGGCCAACCCCCAGTTCCAGGCTGGCTTATCTAATTGCGAAGGCAGCTGATGTGTGCCTTCTGCCGTAGGTTGCCTCCAAGCAGGCAAGGGGAGCAGGACTTCATGCAGAGCAGCAGCACGTAGAAGGAGGGGGGGCGCCCCCCCTCCCCAACCCCCCTCCCGGCTGGGGCAGAGAGCCGTTATGGGAACGAAGGGACAGGTCAGGTTGAACTGTTGGGTTGCGTCTATCGGCTCCTCTGCGTCTCATGCAGCTGCCTTTTCGGTCATGAACTGCAGCTGCTTTTCCACTAGAGGGCCCCCCGCCCATATTAGAAACAGAGGCGGACCCCGGTCTAGTGATGGTGTAGTCAATGAAGTGATCACCAATTCTGTGTGTGGCTGGTTGTCCTGCAGAGTTACAGAGCTGCGAGGGTCCACGGTGTCTTCATAAAATGGGACTTCATTTCCTTTCTTTGGTGAATCTGCTGCTGCTCCACTGAGGTTTGCTGCCTGCGGGAAGATCCTGTGTCCATAATAATCTGGGGAAAGTTTGGGGTTCTGACTTTCCACCTCGATATGTGTGCGTGGCACGCCTGAGGTTCTTGGATTAAGCCCGCTGCCGGTATCCCACTTCAGTGAATCAGGCCAACAAACTGATCCTGATCCCAAAAGGCTCTTGAGATGTCAAGAGTAAATCAGCAGTCCTTCACATACTTGCTCAACTCTTGCCCGAAACTCGTATGCCAGAGGCCCTGGCTTCCGTCATGACCGGTTTGTTTGTTTTCTCTCTCTTTGTAGGAGAACAGAGACTGGAATGAGTTGATTCAGGATGCTCAGAGACGAGGCACGATTGTCAAGACCAGCCGTGACAGCTATAAGAAAGATGCTGCAAAAATCCTGAAGCTCAGGCCGGTGCCCCAGAGGACCCGCTCCTTGCCCGGTGCGGCCGTGCCAGGGAGAACGCTGCAAGGGCCAGCGGGCCCAGTCGGCAGTGAGCAGAAAGAAGACTCCAGCCGGAAAGACGGCGGTGCCCGGCAACTCCCGGTTGGTGCCAGCACATCGGCAGAAGTCAGCCATCGGCCCCTGTCTCACGTCACCTCCAAGCAGCCAGCCCTGCCTCACCAGACGATGTCTGCCCAGGAGAGGCCACAAGACCCACGGCTGGCACGGAGGGCCCCGGCCAAGCTGGCCTGCATGGAAAACGGAAATTCTGCCCCGAGTGGTTCAGGGGTGGCATTGCCACAGGGCCTTGCTGCTGCTCCCAGGCAAAGAAATTGCAGCAACAGCATCCAGGCAGTAGCCTCTAAGACAGAAATGTCTGGGAAACCTGGCGCTGCCAGAGAGGCAACGGGACTGGGCGCAGGAGAGCAACGTAACCAGCCAGAGTGGAAGAAAGGCCAGCCGGACTCCGGCTCCAGGAGCAGGAAGGCTTCCGGAGAGGGCCTGGAGACCGAAAGCCCGGCGGCTGCCAAGAGGAGGAGGACCACCTACTAGCTCCCCAGTGTCTCCTCTGCAAGATCCGCGGGGATTCTGCGGCTGGGGGGAGGGGGCGTCATTCCTCCCTCTTCCCGCAGCCCGCAAGCTCTGCTCCCGTCTGTAAGATAATGCCCTTTGGCTTGCTTTCGTGCAGGGAAGATAGGCAGGCGCTCCTGATATGAATGGCAGCCATGGGTCTGAAAAGCCCACACTGTAAATGTTTGAAGCCATGTATATTTGTATAGCATACAGAAATGATTTTGGGGCTGGAATGGATTGGGTGGTGGCCATGGCCGAAGCTCTTGCCCGTGAGGACTTGTGGGGAGGCACGGCCCCTCCACGGCCCCCGGAACAGCCGCGTAAGCGTCGGGCTCCGCCTTTGGCTGCCGTCCTGCGCACCTCAGCCCTGAGGTCTCACCTCTCGAGCATGGGGCTGGTTTGCTTGCCTGCCTTTTGATCCTTTTTGATACTTCGGTCACAGTGTATTTAAATTTAGGAAGGAGCCACACAGCCCACGCTCAGGAAGTTTCTGCAGCAGGGAACTTTCACAGAAGTGCCTCTTTTTTAAGTTGTTGCTGAAATCCAGTTGATCTGTGTGCACCTGGTGGGAAACTCCCAAGCGACAATGAATGTTGAGCAGATAGCATGTCCTGCTGGGTTGGGTGCCCTTGACAGCCCTTTTTCATTGTGGTGGTGGGGGGTTATTTTTGGTTCCTCTGTTTTTGTAAATTGCTAAGCATTGGGCCTTCGCCTCTGAGCGTGGCTGTGTGGTTTCTGGCTGTTGCAAATGCCAGGGTGCATGCCTGGATTCCCACCCAGGTGACCCAGCCCACCACAAGGGGACTGAAATGTCACTCCCGGTCTGCCGCTATTCACTGCTCCTGACTGGGCACTTCGAGGGCCAGCCCTGAGATCGCAGCCCCTCCCACCCACCCCCCGAGGCCATGCTGACATCGAAGCCCTGCCTGCCTCACACTCTAACGTGACTCTGGACAGGATTTTAAATGACTAATTCCAAGTAATACTTGCTTCCTCTACGCAGAGCACGTGGAGGCGAAAAGGCGAAGTCATTAACGTGTTGGAGAGCTGTTACTTTTGCTGTGTAATAACCTCTGTGTAAATAAATGGCAGTGACGTATTTTTAAGAGACCCAAGCAGATGAAATACATAAATACAGCAGAAGCCTCCTTTCCACGTGTGTGGCTGTGTCTTGATTACGGCCGGGCAAATGGCCCTGGGGTGCAGGGGAGTGTGTGTGCGTGTGGGCACGCTCCTTCTCGGAGGAGGTGCCTGGGTCACAGAGCCGGGCATCGAACTCTCCTTTGCCCCTTGGCTGCGGGTGAATTCAAGACCTGCAGTTTTTGGAGACAGATCATTGTCCGCCGTCACATATTTCTGCCTCTTAACCAGGATGTGCGGGGGAGTGGGCTTTCATACCGAGGCAGCTTTTTCAGCTGCGAAACGGTATTTGGAACAGTGAAGTTTTCCATTTTGAAATGCCTGGAGGGATAGCACAGCAGTGATGTTAAAACGTTCCTTGAACTCGTTGGTCACCTCTGTGCTGTAATGAAGCGGTCTTGATTTTTTCCCCAAAGGATTCCCATGTGTGAACATGGGATCCTTTTGGGGGTACATCGCCTAATCATCTTGACCAGGGCACGGGATCATTTTAGGCCTGATTGAAATGGGATGCTGGCAGGTCAGGTGAACTGATCCGTGGGACTTTGCACATGCCCCAGGAAACAAGGTACTTTGGCTGTTCCACATGCTGACAGTCACGAGTGTAATGTTGACATGCCAGTGCAACACCAGCCTCCACTTTGGATCTCTGGCAAGCTCCCATTGCTTGCACAGCAGCCCAGTTAAAGGCCCTGGGCATATGCGACCCACACAAACATAAGAGAAGCTGTGCTGGATCAGGCCAACGGCCCATCTAGTCCAACGCTCTGTGTCATACAATGGCCAAAACCCAGGTGCCATCAGGAGGTCCAGCAGTGGGGCCAGAACTCCAGAAGCCCTCCCACTGTTGCCCCCCCAAGCACCAAGAATACAGAGCACCACTTCCCCAGACATAGGATTCCATCTAGACTTTCTGGCTAATAGCCACTCATGGACCTCTGCTCCAATGTTCCCTCTAAGCTCCACAGTGTTGTGAGCAGAAATTCTACCTCCTGAGCAAAATAAGCTAATAGTATTAAAATTGTG